TCTTGCCACATAATCTTCCACATAAGGGGACCTCATTGGGAAACGACTGCAGACAGCCAAAAATGCGCCTTTCACAGGAAACTCTTTGCCTTTCAAGCAAATACAGCAAAACATTGCCAAACAGCAAGCCGAACAATGTAAAAGAACAGTCTTCTATTAGTTAATGACTATCAGAGAAATAAAAACATAACTAGAATAAAAACTTCAGAAGTCTGTCTTATGACTTTGTTTGCCTCGTATTGTCTGATGTTAAATTAGAATCATGGTAACAAGACCTTAAGGCCCCAGATACTATGCAGGCCTAATGGGATAGACTCCCACATTCTCTAAGATAGAAAGGAACCACATCATTTTTTGTATAACCTGGAGTACTGGATACTAAGCATGGAATTTTTCTTCACTTAGCCTACATCCACTGCAGCAGTTAAAATAATCTTAGTTACACCAAATGGTTCTTTTTCTTTTAATCAGGGAACTCTTCTGCTGGGTAGGAATGGGACTGTGTATAATTAAACCTGGACTGTCTGCTCCAGTGATTGACTGAACCAAGTCCTAAGTGAGGACATGTAAGTCTTAAGTGAACCAAGTCCCAAGTGAGGAAAATTATACCTCCACAAATCTTGTTGCTTACACACGTGCCTGGCTGCACACCTATTCCAAGATCAAAATGTTTTAAAAAGCAAAGACATACACAATTTCTGGGGACAAATTTAGAGTCTCTTGGTGTGGGCAGCCAATCCATAAATCACACAAGTGAAGGAATTACTTAGAAGTTAAGCAAAAAAATCCCCAACTCTTTACACACCACCACAAAACTGTAATAGTTCATAAATCCTCAATCTTAAAAGTAAGCATAATACAAAAGTAAAAAAATATTTAAAAGTTTATCTCATATTGCCTTGCTCAACTGTCATACTGCCTTACTCAGTTGTGCTGATGTAGCTGTGAAAGTTTTGGCAATTGACAGGTTGCAGGGCTGGCTTTGTGAGGAAGAGGTCAAAGGCTGCCCTGTCCAATGGACCCACCACAGAACAAAACTGAGCCCCTCAGCCAAGATGATGGTGCCTCAGGGCAAAATACTTAAGACAGGGCAAAACACAGGAGAGTGGGAAGGAAAAAAAGACTAAGAAAAGCAGAGCAAACTCCAAAGTAAGAGAAGGAGATAGCAGGGGTGCCCCAGGGGCCAGATTGCCCTGCAGCTCAAGAGGACTGTGCTGGAACAGATGACAACACTAGGGTCTGTAGAGGACCCCAGACCAGAACAGGTGGGTAATCTTTGAAGGAACTGTGGCCCATGGGGATTCTAGATTGGAGATGACTTTTTCTGAATGTCTGCAGCACATGGAAGTGTCCATGCCAGAACAAGGGAAAACTGTGAGAAAGAAGGAACAGCAGAAGAGACTTGTTATGGACTGACAATAAAACCTCCTGTTACCCATCCCCACTTCTTGTGGGGAAGTCAGGAATGGAGAAATAATTAAGCATTTGGGTGGGAGTCTGGCCCGTAACCAATGCTAACTCATCAAATCAACAAATGTAATAACCATCTCATGGACTGAACAAAGGGCAAGGGAAGAGCAAGATATTATTTTGCAATTGGGCAAATTAGTCCTTCCTAAACAATTCACAGAACCCCATCTATCTAGGTTGCATTGTTCTGACCAAGCACTTCTCATATCCTGCATAGTCATTATTGGCAATAATTTCTACTTTTAACAAGAAATGGAAAAGTCTTTCAATTAGTGAAATAGTATTAGTATGAATGGAAGTTTCAGAGCAACTTTAAGTCTGGACTTCCAGTTCCATACTGCTAGTGCATTTTGTGTTACACTTGAGCATGTTTTGGTAACATCACTACCATCTACTTTTGGTAACATCATTACCATCTACCATACTACTATGTGAAAACAATTTTTCCAAGGATTTTCACCTAACTGAAAGTAGTTTTCAGATAATGTTTGGAATGCTGGGAAGAATTTCAGTTGCTTTGTACAGACATTCTGCAGATAACCTACTTTTTTTCTCCTCTTCCATTTTGGCATACATACATTTACTACGTATAAAAAAAACCCAAAAAAAACCATAAAGATGACTTGATTAAAAGTTTAGTTGGGAAAATGAAGAAAAATCACACTTCAAATAAAATACCTATTTTAATTAAGAATTCAGAAGAAGTACTTGAGCATGCTGGGGGTCACAGGAGCACACCAATGCTACTAAACTAAGGCTCTATCTGGTGAAGGAAACATTTGTACAGAAACCACAGTCACGGCTAGTAAAAGTCTACATTCTTGCAACATCAACTAAGCCAACTGGGAAGCTAGCTGCATCTTACAAGACTGTATGCTACTTTTTTCACATGGGATACAATTCAAAAAGTAATACTTATCTGCTTGACATCTTCCAAGAAAAAGCAGACATGTCCAGATTGGGCATTACTGAAAACAGAGATTCATAAAGCACAAGAAGACTATGCATGTTCTAAGAAGCAACATATATGGTACGGCTTGACAAAGTTCTAAGAACAGATATCAATCTCTGTTGAAGTTCTAGAGAGAAATTTTTACTCATATCAATGCACTGACAAAAAATCTGCCACAATACTCTACTTTAGAGTATTTATATTGATTTAGGGACATTTTAGTAGTTGGACTGGTTTTATTTTAATTTACTCTGACTTTTATTCTATTTTTCTACTCAAACCAGTGAAGACATTTTCTCCTGCCTGCACCTGTTGCATTTACTATGGTTCATTTCCCACTGATACAAATATGAAGGCTTCAGGAAAGCACATTTTCATTTAAAATAAATCCATTAGATTTTCCATGTCACTAATTTGGTTTCTTCCTGCTGCCATTTGCTTATTGACACCTGAAGTTTGCTCATCTCTCTCTCACAGATCATTTATCAGAGGGGATGCAGCTGGAGTTCAGGCACTCCAAAATACTAAATATGAACAAGACATATTGCAGTCCTCTGCAGATCTTCAGAGTAAGTCTGATCTCTCATGGAACCAGATGTTTTGTTATCTCCAAATTAGCCACGGTCTTCATTTTGCACAGGGGAAGGGCTTCATTTCACCATCTATCATGTTTCTGGAATCCTTACTTTCCAGTTCACACAGCACCAATCATGCTTCCCAGTCTTTTCACAACTGAATTTTTACTAGTGTATCACATGTCTGGCAGGCATTTTTGGGAATGGGAAAGAGGAAAAAGTATTAATAGAGAGGAACACACACGCCCTCACCTCTTGAGAGATTACTGATATGATACTGATATTCATGTAATAATGCAAAGAATAACCTCCCTGTGTATGATTCTGGACAAAAATATATCCTTTTAGCTTCAACAAAGCTCTCCAAAAATGAGGGTAATATAGCTATGATACCAGAAAACATAAAAAAAAAGAAAAAAAAATTACTTTCAGTTACTGTGTTGGAGAAGTTCTGGATAGCGGTTTTTTCAACCCTTGCAATCACACTAGGGACCTAACTCATGGTGAATACAACTCTTCATCTACATGGGATTGTTTCCTCTTGATACAATCAGAACAGATGAAAACCAGATGCTGGGGGTCTGGTTTGATGGGATTTTGGTTTTAAAGATTTTTGCACAACAAAAATCACTCAGTTTTTTGTGGAGCTTAAAAATGTTCTCTTCTCAAGAGGTATAAGTCATAATAATACATTACACACCGGCAAAAGTCAACAGTACTGCCATACACACAGGTCTATGAATCTTTCCATCCAGGTTTTTTTCATGTGCATTAGAAGAAGATATTATATGACATATTTATGCAAGGTAAATACACAATGACAAGTAAGACGTCAGAATGTTTCAATGTTTCTCTAATATTTCTGTATGTGTTATAAAACATTTAAAAATTAATAAACTTGATTTAAAAATTGCATCATTGAGAGAAGTAAAAAAGTAAAGCACTACAAGTTAAAATGTTTCAAAACAGATGCTGACCTATAGAAGTTTCCTCTGCGTATATTAAATTCTGTTCAGAAACTTAAAACTGAGACAATGGATAACAAAGAGAAACCAGCAGCAGACTAACTTCTAGGAAAACACATCTGTATTTTTGTTTGTGCCATATTCATAACACCAGTGCTGCAAGATCTCCTTCGGTTCTTCTAGGCTCTTAACTCCAGAACTAAGTCAAGTAATAGGGTCACAATTCAAAAGTCAATCCCAGTTCTTCTACCTGAATCCATTTTGACATTCGACATTTAACTCAAAATCAAAACATATTTTTGCAAATTAAACTGAGTTCTCCTTTCCATAAAGGACCTTGCCTTATTCTCCTCTAAGAAGAGGCACTGTAGCAGAAATTACAATTACTGCACATCTTCCTAATTATCTTTGAAGCAGCAAAAAGAAGTGAAACATTTTCTTTATTGCAATAATGGATATTATCAACTTTTTAGATTTATAATTTAAATATTTTAAAAATTTAACAGTGAAAATGGTCTGCCACATGAACAGTGACAAAATACTTCTGGTATTCATGTTCAACTACATGTTACAGAAAACACCAACCACTGGCCAAAATTTCTTCTCTTGCCACATTGTTTAACATGCAACAAAAGCAGGTTTGTTTCCGCCAGCATTTCTCCACTTGTTTTAGAGAGTTTAATAGTTTTACATTCCTGTCAACTACCAGTTAATTTACTGATAGAAAGGTTTCTGTTATTGTCAAATGAATTTTACTCTGCCAATACTGCTACTAGATGCTTCATTCTTTCATTCTGATTTTCTACATAGAAACCATGAAATATATTAATTTTCAGGACTTGTAAAACTCTCTCAGATTTGTGGGCAAGCAGAAATCACTTTCAGGCAAGGGTCATTAATTTTTAAGCAATATGGAACTTGTACTTTGAATTTTAGTCCTTATGGCATGACAGGCCTCTCAAACACTGAATGAATGGAAGCAATGTAGAATGTATCTGACCCTTCAGACCAATAGGTCCATGGTCCTCTGTTACTCACAGTGTTGTCTTCATTGACAAGATTTCTGTGACCAGAAGTGAACACTTCCATGTCAGTTCCTCAGTGCTAGTGCTCTGGAAACCTTGAGATAAAGATTGTAGAAGAAAGACAGACTTAGAAGTCAGAAGTTCAGGGAGGAGATCATAAATACCTTGCCTGTCTGAAAGAAAGCTAGAACAATCACATCCAAAGTGACTCAAAGATAGGGACAAAATTGTCTTCTTCCTTTACAGCAAGTAAAGGGAAAGAGAACATGCCAATGAAGAGAAGAATGAATGACAGATACAGAAGATGGAGTCCCTGGACTGGATATAGAAAAATACCCAGCCTCCTTTATTCTTCAGTGTCTAAGTAAGATGTACTTGTTTCTCAGACAACTCCGCCTCCAATTTTCACATGAGCAGAATAGCTGGCTTAATTTTCAAAATTAAGCATTTCAAATCCACATGTGAGCAGAGAGTAGTAAGAAAAGAAAAGAAAGATAGTAAAATTATTTTAGTTCAAACAAGAGAAATATTTTTTACAAAACCACCAAAATTCTGTATATAAAGTATTTTTTTTAATACTGGCAAATAATCTTTTTTCTTTTCCTGCAGAAATTTGGACACTAAATTTTTGCATATATTTGAAAAAGAAAAATGAAGTTTAAATATCAATGAAAGATCTTACTTGCAGTGCACTATCTTTCTTAGCAAGCAATATTAACTCAGTTGTGACACATATAAAACTGGAATGCAGGACAGCATTTTACTTTCCCTGGTCAGACTGACCCAGTCTTCTCCTTCCCTGAGCCCTTCTAAAAAATGCCAGCTGTGGAGAGGAAAGTGAAAGATAAAACTGTCTGACAAGGCAGTGGAAATGTTTAAAAGCACACCAAACATTTTGTTGTCAAAATCTTTCAAAGGAAGTGATTTAATTCACATTAATTTCAAAGATGCCACAAAGCAACCTTATTTGACAAAATCATGCTGCACTCTTGCCACAGAACTAATAGACAGGTTACATAACCAGTAAGTTATCTAAGAAACCTTTAATTGGAAAAAAGGAAACCCAACTTAAATTTCACATAATAAGAGACAACCAATCATTTCCTCATCAAAAAAAAAAAAAAAGTTTCCCTGTAAAGCAATCGTCATTATAATAAATATAAACAAATATATGATATTGTGTAAAAAAAAATAAATATGCATTTTGGAGAAATCCAAACACTAGTGTTGTAGTTTTAGAAAAATTATACATTTTTTATTAAAGTAACAGTTTTTAATGCACAACAGCAAGTAGCCATGGAACTCCCATAAATATGAGGTCTCATAATTTAACAAAGACCAAAATCAGATCAAAACCTGACAATACTGTAATCTATTGTTAGCATTAAATGCTCAATCCTAAGACTTTAATTGCAACTACATGTGAAGCTCTGAGACTTAAGACTGGCAGTCTTTACTCAGCAGGCATGGACAAGGAGAGCATATTTTATACATGTTGGTGTGTATAAATCATTGTTTGCTAGCCTAGCTCTAAGCACAAAAAAAAACCCTATACATAACTGCAAGACTCCTTCTTTCCTTCTGCATGTACCGAGGAAAATTTATAGCACATGTATGTATAACATACACACGAAACACAAGCAAAGAATTCTGCAAAGGAAAAGACAGAAGAAATGCTTTTCCTTCTAGCTTCCATGCTCTCTTACTGATAAAAATGCCGATCCTTTTCTTTCTTTTCCTTTTCTTAATGGAAGGAACTGTAAACAGCACTTCAGGCCAACAGAACTTTGCCAAGCACTATGTACAGACACATTTTCTGCAAGTTCAGAACCACCAAAGAAAATCTGCAGAAAGACAGCATGGCAACATAGGCCTTCATCTGAAGTGGAGACAGACACTTCAGAATACTCTGATTAAAAGTAGGTTATAATTACTACACATGCAGAAGTACAGTTCAAAAACACCTTCTCCCCAAGTTTAAAACAAACACATACAGATTTCAAGAAACAACCAAGAGATGATGCACTTAAAATAGTCGTATGTGTTTACAAATTCAAGTTGCTGCTTGGTGGAAACTTGATTTCTGCAACATGTCCCCAAGATACAATCTAATACTAAAACTTATCCTGCGGTAGGTCTACTTTCCAATTACTAGAAGTAAGCATACAAGGTATATAATTAGTTATGACACTGGGACAGGCATACATGTTTCAACACAGACAGAGCTCTGAACAAAGTTTTTGGCAGTATATGACAGAAGACTTAAATTGAAAGCTCAAAGGCAGGGTATAGTGTATTATAGAAAAAAAAAATAAACCACCCTGTAACTTAAAAAGTTCTCACACCAAATGATTTTTAAAGGTATGAGCATATTCAGCTGAAACACCCTTCATAAGCTGGAGAGAAAAAAAATATTGCCCTGAAGCACCAAAATAGGCTATATTACAAATTAAGAAAAAGAAACTCAATCCTTTGAATGGTTTCTTTTCTTTCAGTGAAAGGGTGTAATTCTTCCCTAAAGACTACATTATGACAAAACATTTATATAAATCAAAGAAGATTTCTTTAATGACTGTGGGCATGGGATCTTAAATCTGGGATGAAACACCAAATTCTATCAATTCTAAAATAAATTAGGCAAGGATTATACAAGTAGTACTTATCTTGGCATTAGAAAAGAAAAAAAAAAAGAAGAGAGAAATGAACATTACTGTCAAAGACGTATCATCAACATGCTTTCAAGCAGCAGTCTGGAAGAGCCTTTAGCGCTAACTTCAGAATAAGTGAGCTCTGAGAAGCTCAATTAGGTATCTAGTTTCTAAATGTTTTCGTTTAAGCAACCAACAAGACACCAAATGAGATATAATGGCAATGTCCATATGGATTAACCTTATGGATGTCTTGTTTGATGCTATAGAAAGAATTAGACTTCAGCTAGTTTAAATAAGTTTCCTCAGATGTTTGAAAGGGTCTTTTGCTCTGCCATGTTCCCTACAAACAAGCACTTTAAAGGTAATTTTTTTAACAGGATGGCAGTTTTTGTAACAGGAAACACTGAACCTGTGTCTTTAAAATAAATTTAAAGTCCATAAATTTGTGATGCAGATATCTTGGAAAGTACATCTTAAACTAAAACAATAGTAAGTAACAGGCTTTTCCAGACTGAAATTAAGCTAGTATTTTCATAAGACACAATTTTTTAGTGTTTTCCTATGTTAATAAAACAGATTACATATTCACAATACACAAACAAAACAGATAATCAATATCAATATCTGGTTTATCTTATAGGACATAAGAGCATAACATCTTTAATTTCACACCTTCAGACAATCTTGGAGCAAAAAAGCACACTAGAGTGAATGTAGTAATGCTACCTCCATCCTCTTAAATTAACCTTACTTAGAGAGCTGATGCAGCACTGTTGGCAGAAATATTTCTTTTGTCAGCATATACCATGTTCTATCTAAACAAAATCTGACAAAAACTCTCTTTTCCCTGCTTCAGATACATAACAAAAAACCTGGCCCTTGCCGAGTACTTGGAAACAGTGTGCCTGTGATGTCACACATTATGTTCATATGAGGAAACAAACTAATTTTTCAAAGATATGAAGAGCACACAGTATCAGCTGCCTATTCCTTCTGAAGCTGAAAGAGTTAAATGTTTGTTTGTTAACTACAAATGTGGTAATAGGGCTAACACAGCACTTAAGATTAAACTATACTCTCCTTCCTCAATTAAAACTAGTACTTTCATATAATCCAAGAAATAGTTTACATAACAATCTGCACAATATCTGGGGGGGCCACATGCAGCACTAGTTCAATTCATGAATATAACAAGAAGAAAAATAACTTAATTTTAGGGGAGCAAGAAGCAAAGTTGGCAGCATGTGGGTACACCCAAAAGTATCAGCTTTTGTTAGCCTTCTCTAAATTGTGTCTGCCTCAGCAACTAGACCTTTACTTCTCAGTCTTACAAACAAAACAATAGTTTTCAAAAACTAGCTTCATCTCAAGAGGTAGAAAGACTATCTTGCATACTTTGTAGGCATTGATCCTACATTCAAAAGGCACTGGTATATTTCAAGTCCTATAAGTAAGTAACAGCATAATGCTAGTATGAATAAATACAAAGGTACTATAATTCAGTGCACACCAGAGCTACAGTGCACCTCAGGAAAACACATAATAACATAAAGCATTGCACTAATAAACCAGACCTTTTTGCTAAGAAAGGTTGGACCAGAATGATCTGTGAGGTTCCTTACAACCCAGTGCTCTGTGACTATAAAGTTCATTCATAGATTTTTGTCTATTTAAGAGAGACTTTTATTTTTCAAACATTACCATATACTACAGAATTACATTCTTATCTACATTTTCTTTCTTCACAATCAACATATGCTACAGATGATAGTATTATGCAGACCCTACATTTACTGATATGTATTCAGTTGAAGGGTTTTTAACTCCGCAGTTATCACTTAGAATAAAATTGCTCCCCTATTTCAGTTCTTACAAGTTGCCACACTAGAAGTATTACTGGACTTCAGTTCCAAACAATGTTTTTTCCTCAGTTCTGTGAGGTTTTGGATAATTAGCATGGTGACTCAGATACTATTCATGGACTGCCTGTCTTCAGCATGACATTAAAAAAGCCTCTTGAAAATAATATACCATGATTCAACCTACCAAGATCCCTTCAGAACACAGTGCTAATACCATGGCCCTACTGTTTTCCAGCTCTCATAATTATGAATGGACACTAAACTCATGAAAGCTGAAGGCAAAACACTCATGAACTACTAGAAAACAATTACATAAAGACAGGACCATCAGGTGACCAGGATACAATCAGGGTGTATGAGTTAGCTTGTGGCACACATGACTTCGACTTTTCAGCACTGAAAGTGAGGTAAACTCCATGTAATCAGGAGAGCACAAATGACTACAAAAACAAATGACTTTTTCAAGTAAATGTGAGAGCTGGTATTGACTGCCTTGCTGAGGGGGGATCTGTTTCATCAATTCATTCTATTAAATAAACTCCAGATGAAGTTTGTTCACTCCTGAACTATCACAAAATACAC